TTTATAAATTCACCTGCTCGTGTGGAGCTAGTTATATTGGCCGCACAAAGCGCACGCTTTCCAAACGCATCTTTGAACATTATCCGGCATTGTTAGCAAAGGGATAATGCAAGACAGTTACTAGCTCAGTTCTCGAGCGTTTGGCTCGAGTGAAGTCTTACATCTGAGATTATCGAGAACAATAAAACGGACTTATACTGCCGCCACCTTCTACTTGCCACTTTCCAGCCGCCAAAAAATTATGATTGCTCAAGCGAAAGACATGCTACCTAGATGTGCCACTTCTATGTGTATCTACAAATTTAGTTGCTCCTGTGGAGACAGCAATATAGGGCAAACAACTAGACAGCTCAACAAACGCATTAATGAGCATCCGAATTCATGGTTCGGAGAAGGTCAAATGAAATCTATAAGAAGTTCTATTTTGTCTAATTTGATCGATGATAGCGGTCCCCAATTTGACGGAAGAAGTTGCTTCAAGGTTATCTATCACACATTCCATTGACCCTTTCGAACGGAATTTGAACCCACCTTTTATACATAGCCGAAGCTATGGAAATTAATTTGAGAGAACAATCCTAGTCTTTGCATACAACAAAAGAAGTTTGTTCCACCTTTGTCTCTCCCTTGGCCTAGGTGAATTCTAATCAGAACCCTCCCACTCTTTATTATTTTCCATTTCCCTCGTACTTTTGTCATATTTATTTAAACTCTGATTATCTGTCCACTTCACCCACCTTTAGTATTACGTAACTTTTAAGATTTGACCTAATTCATTTATTGATTGAATTGTCTACATATGCACAAATATTACTACCTTCGTTATTCTAATCACCACCTGCATAAACCTTCTTTTCAATATTTTGTTGTCATTATAATCATCATTATCAATGACGTTTAAAACATTTACGACATTATTAATATTATTATTTTTTTTCTACGAGTTCATCACGGATGAATATCAGTTAGAGAACCATTGAAAACCAGGGAGTACTGGACAGCCAGCTGTTTCATCCTAGTTTGGGAATAATCGGAGTTCGAACAAAGGACTTTCCGGTTACAAGGCAAGCTCATATACCCTTCAGCCACTGGGACCTTATTCAATGGCTCATGAATAATAACTTCTACTAATTCGTGATTTAGCACGACCCCAACTAATGTCGTCGGTGAGACATCCATCCTCACACGTGACGTCTGGATGGACGTCACTGGTCACAATTTTTCACTAGAACTCCAGGAAACTCCATCCTGTAGCAAGGCACTAGCGAGGATCAGATTAATTTTCTATAGTTTGGTTTGTGAGGATGGATGTCCCACCAACGACATTGGTTGGGGTCGCGCTAAATTACGAATAATTAGAAGTTAGAATTCATGAGCCATTGAATTGGGTCTCAGTGGCTGAATGGTATACGAGTTTACTGGCCTTGTAACTGGAAGGCCCTGGGTTCGAACCCTGAAAGGTGGATGCGTACTGCCGATGATTGCCGAACTAGTCTGATGAAACAGCTGGCTGTCCAGTACTCCATTGCTGGTTTTCAAAGGTTGTTCTCTAACTGATATCAGTCCGTGCGTGATCAAACTCGTAAAAACAAATCTAATCCTTACAAAGCAAACTGCAGAAAACTACTATTATTATTTGATCCACAAAATCACCGTCACTGGTTAAATTCTTTTTTATATATAAATCTAAGTAAATTGGAGTGAAGCCTGAAGAAGATCTAATTGAAAGCAACAATACTGTTCGCATATATGTCTTGTTCTAATATTAAGAATGGGAATATATAAAGATTTATAAATCTAGATGCCTAGAACTCTACGGATTACAACAGGCTTTTAATCACAACTTGACTTTAGTTTAGAGAACTCCTGTTCAGCTACTGAATCTAAAATAAACCTCATATATATTTCAAAATTTGTTTATAATACCTCGATATGACTAGGTAGCAGATACTAATGGTTGATATAAATGATATATTACTATTCATCTCAATTAGTCAGTAGTATATGGTTCTATAAAAATACTTTGTATTTATATTGACAGAAAACTTAAAATGTGTGCGAGTTCATGTAGCTAACCGAATAGTATCATAAGATGATTAAAACCTTCAGAAACTGAAACTGATTAAAACTGAATGGCTACAGGAAGACGTTGCCTGTGGTACTGGTGAGTAGTTTCGACAAGTGGGGTCCATATCCAGTCGAGAGTGAAGACAAATACTCGCCACTGATGACCCTGGTTGGTACCAGTCACATTAAAATCACGAAGTGGTAAACATAATAATTCAAAGCTCTATGAGCTTTACTTGTAGCTAAAAGGTCTTAGGTGTAACTGAATTTTAGATTTTCGCGTCGATTGATTGGACCGAAGTGCTCGGTCTCAGGATGACATATCGGCTTCTTGTGCAGATGTTTCAACGATGTCTGAGCATGTAATTAGAAGTTAATTGGTGTATGGTGACTAGCAGTGGAATCCAGGATGCACATTTCGTCCTATTTGGGACTCGAAGCATTTGAACAAGAAGACTGAGACCGAGCACTTCGGTCCAATCAATCGACGGGAAAATCTAAAATTCAATTAAATAACTAATATGACCCGTTGCACAAGAGGTGGAGTGGCTTCCGTGGCCCAAGTGGTCTAGTGGATAACGCTTTAACGTTTGAAACTTTGAGCAATGGGTTCGAGCCTCGGTGGAAACATCATCACTCACTGGGAGATGCAGGTATATCCAGTGGCTGACGAGTCCCAAACAGGACGAAATGATTGGATTCCACTGCTAGTCAACATCCACAAATTTACTTAGCCATAGTCTAAATTATCCACAACATTTTGCAAATCCATTCTATGGGATGCATATTAGAAAAATTCTGGAGACACTAAAAAAAGGATCTATGTATTGAGTTCACTTTCATTTACTATATGCAGCGGTCTGCTTAAATCGCCGGGCTACCGAAATTAATTTCCACCAAAATCAAGTGACCCATACATGAACTTGCGCGCTGATTTAACTTTCTTCCAAGTTAACGCTGTGCAATTCTTCAAAGAAATGAAGATATATACTTCAGATTATTTATTACTTCACTTGTAATTCCTATATGAAGAAAAAAGTATTTTGGAACTAAATATGTTGAAAATGTTTGTACTTTCCGTTCTTATATAGTATGAAATAAAGCTTTATGATTATTATTATTATTATTAATTTTCAAACATGCAGATAAACATGTATTACATCAAAAGAGAAAGGTTAAACTTGCCTCATATTTCAATTGTTTTATTTCAGCTGTCAATTCTTCAATTTGTTTTACATAGTGCCACTTAGCGCGCAGTTCTGTTTCTAATATCTGTGAAAGATGTAACTGCTTTTGTTCAGCTTCTTGTTTTAACTCTAAAAGTTTACTGAAACTGAAAAAAGGAAAAGTGGACTAGTATAAATAACAGGCAATAATAATAATAATGAAGAGAAGTTTCATTTGCACTCTGCTTACAATATGAGTCAAAATTACCGGTGAAAAGACATATTATTGTGTTTCCGACTTCTTTGTACTGCAGAAGCTCTAGCCATATGCATCGGAAAGCCGGAGCTGTGTGTTTAAAAGAAACTAGTCCGGTCTTTACAACTACCGTCGACCTAGTTCGGTATGTTCCCTTATCCTTCAATTGTTTGTTTTGTTCGCTTTATGTGCATTTTTCTCTCTTTGTCTTCATTCAGTTCATCCCATTTTTTTTCAGTTATAAAATCAGTTATTTTAAGTTTGTTCCGATGCTCCTCCTGATCACACTTGTAATCCATTTAGAATAACTGTTTCCCAATTATATTCTAATCCTGTGTAATTTTTTTTTGGTTTCTATGCCTCTTGTAATCTATATATTCACTCCTCCTAACTTACATTTCAAGTTGAAAATTTTGATTTCACTTTGTTCCCACGCTCATTTTGTTCACGCCTGTAATTTGTTTTATCCCGGCGAAACTTTTGTTTCTAAGCCTCTTGTTATTCATATCAAGCTGAAAATAATTGTCACCTTTTATTCACCTTTAAAATTGTTTCTCCGGTTATCAAATAATAATAATTTTTTAGATGTTGTAACTGCTTTCTAGTCCAATGCAATTTTGTCTCTAAGCCCACTGTAATCTATATCTGTACCTTCAAACTTTCATATCAAGTTGAAAATTATTATAACCTTCGTTACTATGAGAAATTAAATAAATAATTGTATCTATGTAAGCTTATGTATATAACTGCGATTCTACAGCTTTTGAGAATAAAATCGCCGAAAAGATAGCCAACTTTGCCGAATTTTTTGTTCTTTTCTTCTAGAATACTATATTTATCTTTACACTAGTAATTGTAATTCCCTCACCCCACTTATGACCTTGGAATTCTATTGGTTATTGGCTGTTTTAACCTGTCCATGTAATTAGTGTCTCTCAAGGCCATTTGAAGCAAATATATGAGTAATTACTGTCAATCCTTTTCGCTTTGGATTTGAAACAGTAAATACTGTCCACGTCAACGGTCTGTCTTGTCGCATTGCGGTTTCTCTGGTGTCGTGTTGTGTCATTGTTGTTGTCCATAGTGATCCGAACAGTAAACCTTGCGAATCGACTAGATAGGAAGTGCGTTGGCGCAAACTACTAAGTGTATGGGCAAAGTTCAACAATAGAGTCCCAGGAGTGCGGAAGCACGAGTGACCTTCAGCCGACCAATCATAAAAATGAAGAATGCTTGCTCAAAAAATGATGTATATTGACAAGAAAATGCTTGAAAACGCATTAAACAGGTTATCTTTGTTTCTCTGACATGGCATAAAAACACGTCCTAGTTGTAACGAGGAGTATCAATTGCTAAGTTAGACTAGTTTCTGCACATGTATTCACCGAGATGACTACTGTTTAGCTCATCCTGCTTGCAGTCTTCCAGAAAAGCCCTCAGTTTAATTATTATGGTTTTCAGCAAGAGGATAGAAGACTACTTACAAGGAAGACGTGGATAATAAAAAAAATAAAATAAATGACATCAACTATAAATCTATCCCTAATCGTAACCGTAAGCTTGATCCTAACCCTAACCCTAATTATAACCCTAATCGTAACCCTAACAAGCTATTAACACATTGTCTAAACAGTACTTGAAAACGTGATTTGGGTGAAATTTGCTCCTAAGTTGGTGAATAGTGTTGATATTTCAGCCATGATAATGACAGATGCCGTTAACCAACGACTAGCATGCGTTCAAGGTCATTGGAGCGTTCACACTCCTGGGACGCTAGCGTTGAACTTCGCCAGTTTATGTGAACGGTCATAACAAAGCTTCACAATTAAAATTATCCAGCTTAGAGGATATAACAACATCAAAACGTATAAGATTTTGCATATCTTAGCTAAAGTTTCCTTTGAGCAGGTATAGGTTAGACATAGTTTTCACTGTTTGTGTATTGTTCATACTGATTTTGACTCAATGATCGATAATTGTTACGTAATTATTGTTTGGAAAATCTCCCCGGAATATTCTAATAACAATATTTATACTTATTTGGATGTGTTTCACCTAACTTTATAATTATTTAAACTAGTTAGTTCCCTTGATGAATTGAGACAAAACAATAACAAGACGTAATTTGTCTGAATCGTGTAATGTGTATTCGCGCGCACAACACATTTCGAACAATCTGATCACACACGGACTTGTCATAGGAATATATATGAAATAAATAAAGAGGTAAGAGGTGACAAAATAGACAAGTTAGGTCAAGTTAAAAGGACATATTGAAAATCAAAATAACAACGAAGATCATTAAACCAAATAACAGCGGTAATACTACATCTACACTGGCTAGTATCAAAACAAAGTCTACCAAAGAAGATTTAGTGTGATGATGAATTATTGCTTTGAATGCATAAAGGTGATTAAAATTTTCTAACTGCCAGCTAGGGCTTCCACAAACTTTAGGATACTCCATCTCCCAAACACATTTTACGAATAGGTTTAAAAGATGTCGTAACGTCAATTTTATGTCCTGTCTCCTCTGTAATATGTTTCTTATAAGAGGAGTTAGGTCTCCTGTTCTCACCACCATTGGGTTCTGAAGATTTCTTTTGCTTCTGAAGCCATTAAGGAATATGCTCTGAAGCCAGCACTTACTTGCAGAGATCGATGAGTCCTCCGTATGTATGTGTGTCCACACGTGCATTCAAACTGGTAAATACAGTGGGATGTGACATCATTTCTGGCATGTTCGAGGGCTTAGATTGATGGATATACCAACTTCACATTCTCACTTATTATGATATTAGCTGCATAAAAAGTCTTTTTAACAGCAGCATTCTATTGATGGGTCAATAAAAAGATCTATTTATAGAAAACCTACCTGGACGGGACAGTATCTTAATTATCACAGTTTCTGCACTGTTCAGTACCAAAGAGCCTTAGTCAGGTGCCTCTTCAGTAGAATCCAACGAATATGCACTGAAGACACACTTTATGAGGAAGAAAGAAAGTTGACACAAACTCTGGTTGATAACAATTATACAGATAAGTTCATCAGGAGATATAAAGTGGTCAGTGGAACACCAAGACCCACTCTACAACTCGCCCCTAAGAAAGACGTGTACATCAAGCTACCCTATATGGGGCATCATAGCAGCTTGATAACTAGACAAAGATTGAACGCTGCTGTTAAAAAGACTTTTTATGCAGCTAATATCATAATAATTGAGAATGTGAAGCCAATATATCCATCCATCTAAGCCCTCTGAACATGCGAAAAGTGATGTCATATGCTCCGCTGTATTCACTAATTTGAATGTACGTGTGGACACACATACATAGGGAGGACTCATCGATTTCTGCAAGTAAGGGCGGGCTTCAAAGAATATTCCTAAATTGCTCTAGAAGTAAATAGAATCTTCAGGAGACATTAATGGTGAGAACAAGAAACCTAGCTCCTCTATTGAGAAACCTATCCATGAAACGTGTTTGGGGCGTATACTAAAGTTTGTGGGAGCCCTAGCTTGAAGTTCGAAAATTTGAACCACCTTTATGCTTTCAAAGCAACAATTCGTCATCACACTAAACCTTCCTTGGTAAACTTTGTTTTGATACCAGCCAGGGTAGATGTAGTATTACCTCTGCTATTTGGTTTAGCGATCTCCATTGTTATTTTAACCTACAATATGTCCTTTTAACTTGACTTATGTAGTCTATTTTCTCACCTCCTAACTCTTTATTAATTTCAAATATACACATTCCCATGACAAGTCCGTGTGTGATCAGATTGTCCGAAATGTGTTGTGCGCGCGAATACACATTACACGATTCAGACAAATTACGTCTTGTTATTGCTTTGTCTTAATCCTTATTATTTGTCTTTGTTACTGCCTGTTTAATCTCTAATTTCTAATGCTTGTCTTTATGGTTGTGTGATGATGGCACTGATAATGTGTTGTCTTAAGACTAGGACTTTGTTTGAGCTGAATGAATATCATTCTTCCTTCGACTGTGTGCGGATTTGATTTCAGATTAGTAGGAATATTCTACCTGATTCTTAACCCCTGCTTTGTACTCAGGAAGTTACTTCATCTGTACAGCTGTCTAATGTCTAAAGTAATCAACAACAGAACCCTTCGAAGTGAGGACAGGAGTAAGACAAGCTGGCTGCCTACTATCGCCAATGATTTTCCTGATTGCAGTAGATTGGATAATGCGACAAACAGCGCGCGATGAGGAAACAGGCATAAAATGGACTCACACAAACAACTTGGAGGATCTGGACTTCGCCGGTGATATATATCTGATTTCCCACAAACTGGAAGATATGCAGGCGAAAAGCAACAAGTTGGCTGAAAAGGCAAGCATCAAAGATAGGACTTCAAGTGAACATAGAGGAAACAGAGTTAGGTGATGAAGATTCCTGGGCAACACCACCAATAGCAACAACAACAACAGACAACAATCAGCATAAATGGAAGGAACCTGAAAGAAACAACCTTTTTCACCCACCTACCTACCTGGGAAGCATCGTTTCAACTACAGGCCGGCGGAACCGACGAGGATATCAAAGCAAGGATCGGGAAAGCAAGACAAGCTTTCACTACTCTCAATTCTATGTGGAGGTCAACAGCACTCAGCATCAACAATAATAAGATCCGGATTTTCAACTCCAATGTGAAGTCAGTGCTACTATACGGATCAGAGACTTGCACTGCGCGTCATAAAGAGCATCTCAAACAAACTACAGACCTTCATTAACAGTTGTCTTCGCCCAATCCTACTCAAGATCAGATGGCCAGGAAAGATCATCAATGACCGAACCAACTCAGCAGGAACCAACTGTGCAACAAATAAACAGGAATAAATTGAGGTGGATTGGCCATACTCTGAGAAAAGAAACCATCAAGTGACATC